CCCCCCCCCCCCCACCAACCACCTCTGCTACAAACCCTCTTAGCAGCACATCCGTTTTATTTGGCATTTACGGTACGTTCGTCGTGTCATACCACTTCTTCTCGCTTCAAAATCCACTCCTGGATTTTGGAAAAGTTGGGCTTCGGATTGGGGTTGGGGGTGTGGGTGGGGTGGGGGGGATGATGACGACATTGTTACACAGACACCCCGAACAATATCTCCACAAGAGCCGCTTTTACTCGGTATTTCCAGTACGTTCGTGATGTCGGACCTTCTTATATAGTCATCACACATACTTCTGGACTTTGCGAAGCGCTTCACATTTCAGGAGTGTTAAAACCTTCTTGGCAGCACCTGTGTTTGCACGGTATTTACAGCGTTAAACGTACTATACGACCACCTGTGCTTCAGCAGTTTCTTCCCCGTCGAGTTTGCAGCTCCAAGTGCTGTCGTACGTGGGGCCTCTGGTTTTGCACAGCTTCTGGCCTCGTCATGGGTGTCAGGGTTTTCGTTCGCGAAGGCAGGTGGACCCAGTGAGGATGACTGTGATGATGTCATCTTTCAACCACTGCCTGCGCCTTGCATCCACCAGGGACGAGCGTGAAGAAGCTGCAGCGAGTGAGTAATTAAAGCCCATCAGGAGTACAAGCCAGCAGCCAATTTTGGGGGAGACCCACCCTTGCCCCGCAGCTTGTTCGGAAAGGTCAAAGTGCCAAGCCCTGGATGACCCAAAAACATGCACGTCGCATGGGGTCGTGAGAGGTTGCGTAACCTTAGCCTAACAAATGCTACGTACATGTTCTTGCTACAAACCCTAGCACAGACTGACTTTGGACCCTATCACAAAAGTTAGTTGTGGCACGGTAAGGTACAAACTGAAGCACGAGGCGTGTGGATGACACGTTTTTTGGGGGGAAAGGGCGCCCCGAAGAGGACTGCATGTTGAGGGATCGTAAGTCAATCGACCCAGGGCTTGCGACCTTCAACCCCGAAACCTAAAAGTTCGGGCTTTGCGGTTTGGCTCCGCACTCGCTTGCAGGATCGTCGTTGATGTGACCTGGCTATGTATTATGTCAGGTCGTGTCTATGCGGCTTTTTGAGGAAGCACGGTTCTAGGTATCTGAGCTACAGATAAGGAGGGATCCCAAGAGTATGGTCCTCATTACAAAGATCCCTAACTCTAAATAAGCTGCATTTGACGACTTGGGCGTGCTTCATGGCTGCTGGCGGGATGGGTCTAAACCCCAAATTGAGCTATGTGGCACTTCATGGCTCCTTTCATGGTTCTGATGCCATGGCTTTTGCCGTGCTAGGCTCTAGTGCTAGGTGTATCTTCCAGGTTCAGTTGAGGTTCAGGTGGAGATTTGGGGTTTAGTGTATCTTAGTGCTTTCGGAGCCCCAAACCCCAGGCCCCAGAAACTCTTAAAACCCTGGTCCCTACACCCTGCGAGCCAGCCCTAAATTCAACCTCAGCCTCGGCTTCCACAGTTTGGAAATGTCAGGAGCTACCTGCCTCTGAGCCTCAAGACATGGACTGCAGGGCTCGGCCCTGCGACCCCCAAGCCCTCAACCGAGCCTAGGACCGGATACCTTGCCAGAGGGCGTCATACGAGAACAGCAAGCTTTTCAGGCCTATCGGCCTCCAGACGCAGGACTTTTTGGGGCCTAGGGGTTGAAGGCTTCTAGGGTTTAAAGTTTAAAGTTTAGGGTTGCAGTGTTTGGGGATCTTTAGGGCGGGGTTTCAAGCCGAGGCGTGTAGGGTTTAAGGTTCTACAGTGATCTGTGGGTTTCTGATCTGTTCAGAGAAGGACTTTACCCATCGATAAACCCTCGTTACATAGTTTTTCATGCATACATGTAGATCTTCTTCACGCAGAGAGACGAAGTTAACCTATTCGGCATGTGAATGGGTGTGCAGGCCCCTATGTTGTGGCCTAGGTTTGAGAAGTTCTTTCGGATTGCAAAGATGTTTGGGTGTCGCTCGTCACTCCGAGCCGATGGCGGTTTGGGTAGTAGCAATTGGCTATGGCCACCAAGGATTAATGAGCATGCCAGCCTCGGTGAAGCTGCTTGCAAGAGATGAAGCGAGATGCAGAGTTGACACCCTAGACCTCTCAACCCCAACCCCTAAGTAACTGCTGGCTGTCCTGAAGCACTGCATCTGCTCCTAGGAGCTCTTTCCTTTGCTCATCGAGAAGGCTGTGCTGCGATTTTGTGGGAACCAGTGCCCACGGCTTCAAGTCACCATAGAGAGGAGTTTCGATGCATAATGTAAAGCAACATTGCACCTGCACATGTGAAGTTTTGTATGCATGCATGTATGTATGTATGTAGGTATGTATGTGGGAATAAATTCATGCATGCATACATGCATGCATGCATAGACTTCAGATGTCTAGCTTACAGTGAATTACAGGTTGAGGCACGGCCTTATAGAATCGACGGGTAGGGTGATGCCTGGTGTTGCAGGCACGGCTGCGGCACAGCGCAATCTACATTTGATCTACGTTTGCAATCCCAACCCATCCAGAACTCTAAGACTCTGCATCCGAAACCCACAACCCTATAAGAACGCTTGTCCAGAGCCGTTGAACATTGGGACCTTGAGTCAAGCTCCCAGTTTGGCACAGCATGGTGCACTGTCACTCTCCTGCCCTGCCCTCAGAGTTGATGTCGGACTTTCAATATCTAACAGTCTAACAACAGCCTTGCGCCAGTATGTACGAGTATACGCCACAGACCTTATATGTATAAATAAATAACACGTATGTATATGCGTGCATATCCATGTATGTATATCAAAAAACACTCGTGCACAGTTGCAGCGTACCACGACCAACCACTTTTCGGCTGCATCTGTCGCAAAGCAGGCCTTTGCCAAGCTATGCGGCAGCGACACGGCCAGGATTCGATTTAGGGTTTGGAGCTTCGGTTTCAAAGTTATGGATGATGTTGGATGTAGGTTTTAGGGCTTATAGCCCTCGAGTTCTTTGAAGACAATAAACACATGGCAATGTCATTAGGGCTGGGCTGTGGCTTCAGGCTTTAACATGATTTCTGGACTGTGTCGGTGGACGTCTAGGTGCACTGTCGAAGTGCTTCCAGCCTCCCAGCGACAGAAGCCTCAAAGATGGAAGGCAACAACGAAAGGAGCACGGGTATGGTCAATCGAAGGTACAAGACGGATGCGTCACCAGAAAGCAGCAGAGGGTAGACAAACGGCAACACGCGGCGATGGAAAGGTAAACCCTTCAAAGTAGCTGGGTGAAGCAATGTGAACCAAGGCAAAGGAAAGACAACAGTTTACATCATGCAGCAGACGAGTTTTGTTTTCCATGTTCAAGTTTCTTGCCCAAGCAGTTTATTGTCGGGCTGCCCGGTCATCTGCAAGACAATTCCCACGGGATGGCCACGCCGGGGTTTTCGACGCTCGTCTCTGACTGTCTCCCTTCGTTTCCCTTCATGGGCTCCTTTTGGGGTTCTTCGGTCTTGTAACTTTAGTTTCGTGTTCATCGTTATTCTGACTTGCGACCCAATTGCAATTCCTCACCTTCTGCTGTTGTAGACTTCTACCTTCATCTGGTTTTGCATGTGTTTTACCTTGAACTGCACAAGCAACTTTTGTAGCATGTCTCGCGGATTCGTCTAAAGTATGAGTCCTTACGGCTTTGGCTTTTACTAGTTGAGTAAGCTCTAGATCCGAGACGCTGAACCCTGCGTTAATTCTCTTCTTGCAGTCTGGCAGCGGCAGATCAAGCGCCCGAGATCAGGCTACAGTCGGCTCTGCGGATGTTCAACAGCCTGGGCCTTGAGGGCTTTGACAGGGCAGACAACAAGGACGGAGAGTTCAGGCTTTGAGCTAGGACTGGACCTAGGGACGAAGGTCTCCAGTGTTCACACGCAAGCTCTTCCCACAAGAAAAGCGAAGATCCTTAGTCTGGCCAAACCTTATGCCCCCCAGCCTTGAATGCTTCATCCTCAACCTTAACCAGCACAGCGGAGACTGAGCCTTACCCTTGCCGAAACTGGTGTGCAGGATTTTCGTTCGCGGCAACGATTCCTGGGACAGCCGGGAGATGGAGGTGGGGCGGTTTCTTAGAATGTTGGCTTCTTTGGTTCACTAGGGATTTGAAAGGGTTCTTCTGGGATGGCTCAGGGGTTAGGGTCTAGGATGAAGGCTTTAGGTCTGGGCCGGGGCCTAACAGGACTTAGCGTCTAATCTAGGACTCAGGTTTTAGAGCTTTTGGGGAGTGTATGGCAGATGCTGGCTGAAGGTTCAACATTTGGTTTCTTAGGCTATAGCTGCTGAGTTCAGAGTTTGGCTTTCTGAGAAAAACAGACGTATCCTGACCTTCAGCAAAGGGTCAACCCTGTTGAGCCCTCAACCGTGAAGCTTTCGAGCTTCCACCTGTGCTGGAAGTTATTTGCTACTTCTTGTTGGTGTTGTGGTCCGTCGGGTTGCTTAGCCGAAATGCATGATTAAACCTCAGTCACAAGCTTTACAGCAACAGGTCGCTGCTGCGCGAGGTTAACCCTAGACGCTAAGGGCATTCCGGAATCCTTTCCAGACTTTGGCTTCAACGCTGTGTGATCGCGAGTTCGGGTTGCACCTGGCAAGACCCGTTAGTCCCAGGTAGCTCAGGATTCAGGGTGTATATTTTTATATAGGTATTCGAGGATAATTTAGTGTAGTGGCAGATTCTCCAAGGCACCGAAATTTGAAGCCAGTACTGTGTGCCCATGTTTCCCTATCATGTTCTTCGAGAAGCTGAGACAACAGGTTTTGGGCAACACTTTGTTCTCACGGCTTGCTTCGTCCTGAGCCCGAAACGCCGTTCTTACAGCTCTCTTCCTTCATGGGTTTCAACAACCCCCCGAGGATCCCGTCCTTGCGGAGCCCAGCATAATATTTACTGCGCAGGGGATTTAGCGTTTGGAGGTTGAGGTTGGAGAGCAGAGGACTTGGTGTATGAATGGAGTGTTTAGAGTTCAGGGTCTACGAACCCGTGAACCCTTCTGAATCCATAATCCTTAAGACTTGGCAGCGTTAATTATCCTTAAGCAATGAACCATATAATCCTCAAGCCCCAACACCTAAAAAACACCCAAACCTAAGACCGCCGGCCCATACCTGGCAAAGGATGAGCTGGACTCAACTGGCAAACGAAGCTTTTGCTTGCTGGAAGCAGGTGCGCGCAATTTGAGTCCACTTTGGGCCTGGTAGAATATGACTTTAGTGGGTTACAACGGGTTTGTTCAACAGAAAACTTTACGTGGGTTTCCGTTGTTCTTTGGCCTTCCACTCCCCACGCCGGCCCCTGCCATCGCTCCAAATACTTCTGCACAAGCAGCCGGCCCAGCAGAAGTTCTGTGATAGTTACACGGTCATGAAACAGACATTCCGATGCAAGGGGCCGATCCGATTCGGATTGTCCCTTGGGTTTATGTCAGCCTGCGGCCGTCCATCGTGTCCCTTTAGTACCGTGGTTTACTTTGCGGCGCAGGGTTCGGGTCTAGACCACTTTGGCAGAACATGTTGTCGTGAAGGGGAGGGATACGGTTGGGGATTGGGGCCGTGTAGGGTCTGGTACCATTGAAGAACTCGGCGATTGCATTCTGGCCTCCCGCGAGATTCCAATGTCTCGGACGATGTCTTCTTCGACGTCTTGCGCAGACACTGCACCTCGGCACACAAATTCTGATCACCCTGAACCTTCGACCCTGCAACCTAAGCATACGAACCGTATGCTGTAAATCAACACTTTTCCGGGTGCCATTTGGGGATGACGTGGAAGAGATGCAGATAGCAGGATGATGTCCTTTGCACAGGGGTCCCGTTGTGGCCCACTGTGCTTTCCGAAACTGCGTGTTTGAGGGTCGATGATGGCTCAGGAGAGCCATGGGGAGCCGGAACTTCATGCCAATGACACCAGAAGGGGATCATAGACAAAGAGCATCCCACTCTTCAGGGTTTTGGGGCTTTCTTCTGTGAGCTTCTGAAGAGAAGGTGCTGTTTTTTGTGCGGGATTCTAATCTGACGGCCAGCGCGGCTAGCGGGTTTCGGGACTACACCGACATCTGAGGATGTAGGCTTCTCAGTCAAAGCATGGATCCATTTCATATGCTTTAGATCTAAAGTTCTCACATATAGTGACTTTTGAGAACTTGACAGCATGTGTCGAATCAGCCGTAAACGCGACAAGCAATCAACAAGGTACCCTAGGCATCTCGTGGTTCCTTGGCAGAGACAGAGAACGATACAGAGTCGAAGACATCATCAACCTCATGTGGGTTAGGGGTCCGTGTGAGGGTCCGAAGGTCCGTGCGAAAGCAGCGATGGACTAGTTTGGGAAGCCCAAGAAGATGCGTGTTGGGGGAAGTCACGCAGGGGGGAGACGTTTTCAGCAGCGTGATCTGAAAAGCCAAGCAGAGTCAAACAAGGCTTACTGCAGAGTCTCGTCTGCGCGGCTGGTGCCAGCCCGGAGCATTTCAGCAGCAGAGAAGTTGTGCAGTCTTGTTTTAGGCTTTCGGGGCTAGGGCTTCAGGCTTCAATGAGCTAGGTTGTCACAGCCTACAACACGGTTATGCGTTCAAGAGTGGGTAATTCCGCAATTGTTGCCGTTTGCTGCAGCTCTACATACAAGTCTACTTGTTTGTGGGATTTCTACTGCTATTCTCTTCACATCATGTGCCGGCGTTGTCTGTTCTTTGCATGACATAACTTAGCAGTTGCATGAGTCTGGAGTTTTCAGACAGCAAAACTCCAAGCAGCCTCAACATCGGTGGGATATGTGGTTTAGTTCGCGAGAACCATATTGGAGCTACCAGTGAGCTACCAGTAGACCTCCTGATCCTTGTCCCATTCCGATTCTGGTGGGGCCGGCTTTAGCTAACCCTCATAGACTAGAAAGTTTACAGGCTCTTCATGAACAACCTTGATTTGGTAGTTTCAGAAAATACACAGCTCTGATATAGACCCCGTACAGTAAGGTCCCTGCTTGCAAGGTTTAACCAAACCAACCCTGAAGGATTCTGGAAGCCCGGGACCCCGAACTCGAAACCTGAGGCCGTTGTCCCTAAACTATTATACACCATCAAAGAGGACGTATATCAGATTGTCGTGGGTCTCTGGACTGCAGGGGGGGGACGTCTAGCAAAACCTTGAGCCCGAAACCCGCGCAGGACGGGCCTGAAGTCTAAGCATGCGTACAGCATCCTTCGGCTCGAAAGAGCCACGAGCCTGAGGAAGATGTAGATGGCTTTCAGGCTTTGCTTGTGGTGGTGAGGGTTGCTTCAGTTGAGAGCCGTTGTTGGTCGTCATATTTACCGAGGAGAGAGGGCTTTGCTTCTTCTTCAAGCGACGTTTATAGGCTGTTGTACACGTAGGCTTTCTAGAGTTGCAGGTTGTTCCAAGATATGTGAAGTCTTTGGTGGGATTTCCACGCTGATGGAGGTCAAGAACCTACAGTGCGAACCTAATGATCGAGCTTCAAGGTTAAAGCGAGCCTAGTTCGTGGAATTTTACGGGAAATTTATCTCGTTGTTGGCACAATTTGATCGGGCTTCGCTTGGGCTTGAACTGCAAGTGTATCCGGTAGCATAAGCATAATAATCCAAAGCTCTTAAACTACTTAACCCGAAGCCTTAGTCCGAAAACTACAAGAAGCCTGGACCCTAATGTTGCATGCAATCCAACATCTACTAAAGTTGAAGAGGTGTCAGTGTTCTTTTGTACCCTCAGCTGTTCCCTCCTCAGGCCGTGACCAATCCTAGTGCCTTCTGAGGCTTAGGGGTGATGGTATTATGTATAAGCAAATAAATAAATATACATATAAAAAACATATATATATATATATATATTATAGAGAGAGAGAGAGATGTACATATGCATGGATGCATGGATGGATGGATGGATGGATGGATGGATGGATGGATGGATGGATGTATGCATGTATGTGCTATGGTCAGACGTCGTAAGGATCCCATCGTTGAGGTCCGTAGGTAGTGGGGCTTGTTGGTTCGCTCTGCAAGGTCCATGTCGCGGCCTCAACTCAATAGCTTGTTCGCATGCTTTGCCTTAAACCCTTATTTATACCTCTGGTTCGGTAAGATCTGCTACAAGGGCCGGTGTTCATTCTTTGTCGCCTGCAATCCCGTTCTCAAGTATGGCTCTTGCAAGAGCTGTCAGCAGCCACAGCTGTCACCTGCACGGTGTTTGGGGCCTTGATTTGTCGCGTCATTCAGAGGAGTGGGTCAGTGCTCTCCGGGCTCTATCTGTGTCTACGGCTTTAGGACTGGCGGTTCAGTGCTCAAGCTTGTTGGAGTTGCAGGTTTGGACCTGCGATGTATACCGGGCTTTGCGAGAGTTCTGCAGCCCTGGCTGGTCTTGTCGCATTGTTTTGCGCCTTTGCTTTGGGATTTCGGGTTTGAGGCGCACTAACCAAGGTACCAGCTCTCACAAAGTCTGCTCACGACCGGCGCTTTGTGAATCTTCGGCCTGCATTTGATAGGGCTGCATAAGCGGGCTTCGACAGTAGGCGAGTGCTTGTTCAACTCTGCCTGATTCCCTGATTTCGAGCATAGGAGCATGTAAGCCGCGTCAAACGACATACCGCAGGACTTCAGGCATTGCAGTTGGTTTTGCGAATTCCAGCGTCCAAGCAGCGTGAACCGCAGCTGGGGAAAGAGACATTCTCAACTTCTTGACTGGATTTAGTTGAGATTGACAAACAGAAACTCTAAGTCGAATCAAACCCGATTGCGCCCACGAACTCCTCCAATCCCTAGATCTCAAGCCGCAAATACCACCTAGCCCGGCATCCCTCAACTTCAGGGTCGAAGGCTCGACCTCGAAATGTCTTTAGAACAAACCATAAGTCCGAAACGTCCATCCCTTCAAGCCTGCCTCTTGAATTCGGATGCAGAATCATGCTGTGAGGAAAATCCGGGATGCCTGGGAGAGCAACTGGCAGGCCTTCCTCACCACGCGGTCTTCTGGGCGCGCCGAACCATAGATCAATGGAATCTTATAAACCCCGAATCCAAATCCAAACCTCCTAAGATCTTCGAGCCATGAACTTCCACGTGCCCAGCACACATGAATCCTCCCCGACGCTGAAGCCTTTCAGGCGGTGAGCCCTAAGCCCTTATCTCCTAAGCCCCTCAACTAACCCCTTCAAGGCCCAACCTCTCTCAACCTTGAAGCTCTTCACACGGAAAACTACTACGTCCCTAAACCCCTATAGACCCCTGTAAACCTCTAAAGCTCATGAACCGCAAGCAGTCGAAGACACCCTCCCATCACCTCCCAGAGGGAAGCAGCTCTCGCGAGGGCGCTTGGAGCCGTCGCAGCGCGCGATGGGCTGCCGAGCCCGAGGCCGAACCTACACTTCCGTTCTGGTTGAAACAGCCCATAGGTGGTGTGAAGAGATGCCATATAGTAACTAGTAGGAAGGTCATAAGGAAGATCTACGCAGGTTTGTTGGTAAGGGCGTTCCAAAGGTTGTGTTCAAGCATTCAAGCCTTAGATAAGGGCTTCAAGCGTGTTCCAAAACGGCTTCACAAGGGTTCGCAGCAAGCATCCCCGGCTTAGGAGTTAGTTAAAACGTTTTCTGGTTCGAAGGGTTGAGGGAGGTATAGGATTGAAGGGTTTCGAGGGCTACGGTCAGAGGTTTAGTGAGCTTCTGGCATGAAACTTGCTTAGGGCTTGACTCGGTTTTGGAGTCTATAGGGTTGAAGGTTTATTCGTGTTCAGGTTTGCGGAGCTTAGGTGTTTAGGACTTCAGGCTTTAGGCATAGATATGGTGTCTGGAAGGCTTGTAAACCTTTGCAAATCTTGACGACAGTCGAGAGTTGAAGGATTCGTGTCCAGCAACTTCCTGCTCGAGCCCAACTTACTGTAAGTGCCTGGGCTATTGGTCGTGCCATTGAAAGCCATTTCTGAACCGAAAGTTATTGACCTCATAGTCTGCAGGGTCTTCGTTGACCTTTGGGTCCTTGGAAGAGCAGACAGCGGCACTTACCCTGGAAGCCCTGGCAGTCTGAACCCGAATCCCAGGACGCCTAACCCCAAAGCCCGATAGGTGCGGCAAGTACTGGACTTCCACGCAGGGGACGCGAGCACCTTTTGGATGTCCTGGCGCCTGGACCATTCAGAGTCGAGTAAGCTCTTGAATGTTGGAGCCAGTTTCGATTTGCAGTCCACAAGTCCCCTTAATGCCTCTGTCGTTGGTGTTTGTGTTCGGCACGCTTTCTGGAGTGATGCACAGGGCTGTCGCATCCTGCACCAGCCTCAAACATAAATCCCAAAACTCTTCAAGCCATAAAACGGTTGAGGGGTGGCCTTCGGACCGGACACTTGCGACTCATCTGCTTGATACATGCGAAGTGTATCTGTCGTATGCTAGGCCTAAAGGGTCCAAGGTTTGAATACTGATGTCCAAAATATTCAATCGCACGGACGTGGTTCGCCAAGCATCAGCCCATTCCACTTCGGACTTGCCGGGATCAGGGTTTGGTTGTTTTGGGACATTCAGGTTTCGAGCTTTGGGTCTTTATAGTGTTTGTAGGGCTTGGAGTTTAGGGATGTGGAGGGCGCTGAGGCTTGGAATTGGTTGCAATTTCATGGGGTGTATTCATGGGTAGCAGCAGCAGGCCTAAACTGTCGAAGCATGTTGCACCCTCAACCTGTTTAGTCTGAAGCATGAGATCCTTGAAGCTTTCAGCCTCCCGGAGTCCCCAAACGCCGACATGACTCCACCCTCAAACCTAAACTCTCAAGCATTCCCAAACTCTACCCAGCATCTTGAGCACTAAGCTTCCGAGCATCCTCAAATCGTGCCAACCAGACCCAGGGATGAGTTCATCCAAACATGGCGCACTGTTGCTGTGGTGGGCCCGCCAATTTTTGGGATGGGCGACAGCACGCGGTTTCAGAATGCTGTTTCAAGTCGAGCTATGCCGGTGTTTATATATATATATACATACATACCCATATATGTGTATACATGTATATATATATATATACACACACACGTCACTGGATCAGGGTCGCAACCGCGGTAGAGGTCTAAGGTCAAGGATAGCGGATGCAGGGGGGGTTTCTTGGAATATCCCTGTTTAGGGTTGCCGACTGGATTCTTTTGGACGGGATCTCCTACTAGTGAGTATTTTCAGCAACAAGCAACGGAACTAGGGGTTTGGAATGCAGGGTTTCCGGAATTCCATCGGAACCTGTTGGCATTCATTGCTCGTTTCGATGTTCAGGGGCGTTGTCGAGCCTCACAGCTTGAGAGTCATGTCTGTGGGTCGAGCGTCAGGCGCCACGAGAGCTTGCAAACCAAACGAAAGCTCTCGAGACCTTAGACCAGAACATCACAGCCCTGAAAACCCTTACTCTTTGCATCGAATGATGCCCCGAGGACTCTGAACCGTTCGATCGCCTAATTTATGTCTAAATCCCACTACATTCCCAAGTTCTAACCGCGGAGCCTTTAATCCGACGTAATTCCTCAAACCTCAAGCCTGTGGTTATCAACAGCAGGTGGAACGACCGATGAGCATCCGAGCTCTGCACTTCGAGGTCATCGGCGACTCCTTCTGTGCAGCTCGGTGCCACTGTTTCGGGCTCTAGGGTTGTGAGTGGTAAGCTTGGTGTTCAAGGGCTGGTGGTCCAGAGGCGTGTTTGTCTTCGAGCTTCTGGTTTGTGTTGTGGAGTTTGGAGTAGGGGATGAATTGGGTTTTAGGAGTCGTCCTTGCGCTCAGGCTGCTGTGGTGCAAGCGAGAGGTCCGTACTTCCTGTTGTTTACAGATCTTGCTCACTAGCTTCGATCAGACATCCGAAACCTCAAATGCTAGACCTCCAAACCCTCGAAACTGAAACCCCAAATAGGCAACAAATGAGTTTGGGACCATCGAAGCATGGCCCATCCTTCAGCTGCGGCATATCCGGGGCCCAAACCACATATCCTGCCCTGAGCGCTTGTCAGTCAATATTTGCTCATTCATTGACCCCATGTTGAATTGAGATACGCTGGGTCGACAGGCATTAACCAAACGAGCGCCACGTGCATGGTGCCGAAAGCACAAAACCCAAATCCCTCAGCCTCCAACCCTCAAGCCGAACCCTAGTTGCCATGCTGAAGTCCTGAGGCCTCAAGCCTGACAGGGTTTGTTAGGATTTTGGAGAAACTCAGAGGACCCAGCCGCCGCATGCCTGCTCGGATGCGCGTCGTTTTGGGCTGGCGAGGGCTGTCGCACGGCTGTAAACCTCATCCATTCCTGCAGGTTCAGGCATAGGTTCTGGTAGAAAGTCTTATAGTACTTTTCCTATATGCTTGCCATATGTCTGTATAGCATACATATATGTTTTCCCCGAACAGTGTAGCACTCACGACGGAGTTCTAAAGCTTAGCGTGCAGAGTATTGCAAGTGAAGCAGCACCTGCGTCTGGAGAGCTTTGAAGTTCTGGGGTTTTGGGGCTTCGGTGGTTTTCCGGTTGAGGATGAAGGGTGTTAGGGTTCTCGTCTTGAGTACAAGCTGAAGACCCGACAAACCGCATGTTGTGCTTCAGGATACTGTCTTTTTAGGTCTATGTACGGAGATGAGGGCCCGACCGATCGAACTTGTAAGGAGCTAGCACGAGAAACCGTGAACTTGGTTGAGGATTTTGCTTACCCGAGCCGCGCACAGACACACATACGCTTGACCAGACGATTTTGCGTTCCGCATTTTGTGGTCTTCACAGACTCCCACATGCATTGCTCAGCTGCATGCGGAAAATGACAGATCCTCCACCCTCAATCCCGAATAGTACGAGCCGAACTCCAACTGAATCGACACTCCAGAAAACCCACAAGTTCAAAGTCCCATTCCCATACGGGTACCCCACGGCTGGCAGCACAAAAAGCGCCATGGCGCGGCGCTCTGAGGTCAAAGACTTTACAGCCCCGATGCACGTGGCGTGCATGGCGAGCCCACAGATGGCAACCAGAAGCTGCGGGTGGTCTGGGGCTAGTTGGTTTGGGGCATAGGAATTGTGACTTTGCGTGTGCCTCATGCTGTAAACATGGCATCCGAGGACCTACTCGCTTCAAGCCACGCCGTCTCTCACATTGCCTTCAGACTGCAGACATTGTGTGCGATGTTTTCGATGATGCTTCTCGCGCGTTTTCATTTGTGGTTTGGCTAGAGCCGGTCTACAGACCTTAGGCGATTGCTCTGTGGTTCAGAGACCCGAAAACCGCTCACCAAAAGTCTAGAATCGCACCCCTAAGTATCAAGCCCCAGACCTGGGATTTTGAGCTGGATCGAGTCTGGCCTGGGGCCTGCTCTGTGATTTAAGGAGGTTAGGGGTCGTGGAAGGGGTGTAAGTTGTAAGTCCTTCGGACCCAAACACCTTCACAAACTCGAAACTTTGTGGCAAGGCCAGTCTTGCCTATGGGGGCGACGGTCAGGTGTGTAATCCGGCAAGCCTCTAAAGCTTACCTTCCCAGGTAATCCTTTTCTGACTCGAGCCGTGCAGCCTCACAACGCAATCCCACCTACCCCACGACGCCTAATCTCGAGCCCCAAGCTGATCTGAGAATTTACTGACTACTCTTGCAAGCTCTCGAAAGGGGACCTGGGGAATAGAGTTAACGCGCTTTTTTTCGGAGCATGGTAGCTTATAAGAGTACAACATAGAGGAACGTAAACGGTAAAAGACAAGGCTAGAATGCATTATGGGGGTATAGGATGCTTCACCATGTTGAGAGAACCGTACTGGGCACATAAAAAGCCGCTTACATAAGCAAGTTGGGAACGCGTATTGAGATCCCTCTCGCCCCGGCAGCATAAGCAGACTTGTAGAGTTTTCACATTTGGTAGGAAATGGGGCTGTAGTATATGAGAATCCAATATGACTGAAGTATCTAGAATTTTAGCGCTAACCCATGCCCACTGAGGACCATATCGACGCACTGTCATGCAAACCCTTAGAGACTCCATAGCAAGCCTTACGTAGGCCCAACGAGGATTTTCTGGAGGCGTGTTTGCTCAAGGTCCTTCGAGTTTGGGTGAACATGGGACTAGGGGCTTGGTGACCTTGGGCATTTAGGTCTTTCCGGGTTTACGGTGTAGGATTGCAGGATGGGGGACTTAGAATCTAGGTCTCTGTTTCTCTTGGGTTGTTTGTTCTTCGCTCGCATGGTTCACTTCATCCAGGCTCGGCAAGGACATCGACAAGGAATGATGCGGAAATGTTTATGAGATCATGGTCACTTGCACTGCGTTTGCTGCATGGAGCGATTTTTCAATCAGGCAGTTGTCTCGGGAAGCCTGATTTAATTCAGGCACATGTGACCTCCTTACATGAGAAGTTCTGACGAGGTTGAAGCCGATATCCACACATATGCTTCACAAGGGCGCATTCAGAAAACATGTTGAGGAGGACTCGACGGAGAATGCCCAGCCGTGCTGGCCAGAAATTTCGTCGGACGCCACCGTGGCTCTGTGTCGTAGGTAGAGTCCAACATTTCAATCTTGAATGCTTGCCACTGGCCTGGCGGAATGACCCCAACATACGGCAAGTCCTTCGCCCCTTGATGCCCTGGTTCATACTATCGCAAACATGGTCTCTGGTCCCACACTCCAACGTCCCACCCGGCAGCCTTCAACTGTGAAAGCTCAAAGCTTTGTGTTGGATTCCGGCTGGCTGCCTTTCAAGAAGGCCTCGCTGGGAATCAGGGCAGTCCTTTTCAGAAGTTCCATAAGCAGGAGTACACATGTTGATAAAGGTGCTTCTTAAATGCTCTAAACCCTATATAATGCCGTAAACTACTCAACCCCCTCCCCCGGCTGTGTTTTCTCTTTTTGAGAGGACGGCCCTGGTAGGAATTCTTGGACAGGTCAGCGAACCAGAGTTGTGTCTAAGTGCAGATTCGAGGGTTCAGGAAGGCTGAATTTGTCCTCAACGGCTTGAGCCGCACGTTCCAAATCTTGGCTCGCTGCTTCTGTCCCGTTAACGATCCCCGCAGGGGCTGGAAATGCCAGAATCTGGGGCTCTCGGGTTCGGCTGAAGGGTTTTACGTTCAATCAGGCTTGCAGGTTAGGTTTAGCGTCTGGGCTCTCAGGTCTCTTGGGTGTAGGTTTTGGGGTAAGGGTTTGGTGCTTAAGGTTTTGGCTCAAGGGATGCTTGCGGCAGTTTGGGGCTCAGTGTTCAGGGTTCAAGGTCCTGGGATGTAGAGTGGGTATAGTGATAGGCTTTCTAGGTGTCAGGTACAGGGTAGGCTAAATCTTAAACCTCGCGACTGAAGCCATTTTATTTGATCGAGTGACAGGATTACGGTCTTTTCGAGGTTCAGGCCTCTGGGCCGAGACGAAGCTTGGGTGGGGTTTTAGGTGTTACATATGAAATCATATGCACAGGTATCCTATCTGTCAAGCCCTAGAGACTGAGATTGTGGGTCCGCTCGCATCTGCCCGGCAGATCGGTCGACAAAAATCAGCGTCTGCGACAGGGCGACGGAAACCAAGTCCAAAGCAAGGACCTAAAAGCCTTGGTGTGGCACTCGAGACAATTGTTGGGCTATGCTAGACGGGCTGCAAGAACGGGAACGGCATGGCCCGAATGGCACTAGCAACACATGGAGTCGTCGTAGCTCCTGCGATTTCTCCTTTCGAAGAGAACGAGGTCCGCAGTCGAATGGAGCGGCTGAAACAAGTCTCACGCGACCAGGACGAGGCGGGTTTGTATCGTTTTAGCTTTGGTGGTGTGGGTCTGAGTGGTTTGTGCTCCAAACCGTTTTCGTGTCCCAAGGTGGCTTTGCACTTTTGGTTCAACCATGTTCACGGATTTTGGCCAGCGTGTTTTTGAAGCGGGATTGCTCTAAATTTGGCCGTGCCCGTTGTGGTATGGACCCCTCGAGGGGATCATTAGGGTTGTGAGAACATTCCTGCTAAGGTTAGAAGTATGGGCCCCCAATATGGATATGCTCCCTTAGGCCTTTTAGGTGGATTCTACGGACCCTTAAGGGTACATACAGGGTGTATAGTAGGGTATACAATCCCGGGTTTAAGGGCCCAACTTGGGGTCCATGGTTTCAACTTGGATTCTTCAGATCACTCTGAGAATTGAGAATGGACGCCTCCAACCAAACCCAGGCTTCCAAACCATAAATCACCACAGCCAAAATCCGAAATCAAAAGCCCAGCCCTTGAAGCGTGGACCGAAAGAAGCACAAACCTAAACCTAAGCCGAAAGCCCAAACCTTCTAGCCACAGGGCTCCAATTTAAGTTCGCCTCCGCCCTCTGCAGTGATTTGGGCAAGCTGCAGTCAGGCTGTGCGGCGGGAACAATTCCTGGCCAGCTACGAAGATGCTCCACAACTGCAAATGTTCGGAGTTGATAGAGTCAGGGCAGGTTTGGGGGTTTGGTCAGGCCACACTGCTCACATGAGCAGAACAAGAATTAGAGCGAGTTTGCGGAAGCACCGACCGAATAGCTGTACTGTGCCTTATAACAGATCATAACGGCTCATTCGACCAAGGCCCGACAAGGTGTCCAGGAGCGTATGCGCTCTCTCATGGCCTTGCATCCCAGCCGGTGATATTTGCCTTCGGGTTTTACAGTGAGGGTCTTCGGCTCATGGTTTAGCGTAACTGTTTTGAGGCCTCGGCGGCAGGAGACGGAGAAGGAGGGTGTAGGTCTTGGGAATGCAACGTAATGTCTTTAGCGAATGTATTAACCTTCAGAGCTGGTGAGCTGGTCATCCGTTTGGTGCATCGAGGGCTCCTTGGCATCAGCCTTTGCGGGGTTCTCGCTTGAAAGAGAGGAGGGCTTCAGTGTTACCAGTGTTCTTTGGAGACTGGCTTTTCTCTGGGGCCGTTGACTGGCGGAAAAGGCCGTTCGGCTTTAGGGCTTTGGGGTTTTCGGGAGTAGGGTGTCCGGATTTTAGGTGCGGGTGGTCGTTTGACGTTTTCGGGCTAGCAGCTAGCGCATCAGTGCATTGTCGACTGCTTTATGACCCAATTGGCCCCAGCATCGCACGCTTGAAGACCTGTCCTCGCAGAATCTGCAGTGAAGCCTTCGGCAACTCGAACCCCAAGCGAAGACCCCAAACCTGCAAGGATGACGCCTAGACACCTTGAGCCTGATATCCTACGACAAGAAATTTGAGGCCGTAAAACTTGGACCTCGACAGCACCTGAAAACCTAAACGGAAACCCGTCTAGACGGCAGGGGAACAGAACCAGATTGCCGCCGCATATCCAAGCCTCTAAAACCCCAAAACCGAAGCCCTTGAGCTATAACCTCAAGTCCTATACCCCCGACTCTTGCCCGGCTCAGGAGTTAGGATCTACAGCCTGAAGCTCAAAGGCTGCAAAATCCCAATGATCCTGAAACATTACATACATCTTGTTGACCTGACTAACTCTCGATGCGTGGCTTTCGAAAGCCCCAAGCCCTCACGACGATCATGATGGACAAGTTAAACGAGCAGCTGACAAGACATCCCAAACCGGTAGAGCAACCCGACGCGACAAAGCATCTTGAACAGCCCAACGAAATCGAAACCCAAAATCCAGACTACCTTAGCCAGCAAAACCCACACTGTATCAGCAAAGCGGCCTAAGCCTGGAGCTTCAAATCTTGAACCGAAAACCCTGAACCCCAAGTCGCCCAACAACCCCAGGCCCAGCTCCGCACCGAGATGCTGCGCAGCCCTGCGGCCGCGCACCAAATCCGACGGGATTCAGGGATGTTTAGGCTTCAGTCCTCAAAGCACTCGTTTTATTTGGGTGCAACATGGGTTTACACGCTTCTCCACAGCTCAACATTCCACTAAACCTTTGCGGCTTCTCCTAGTCCAGTATTCGTCTTGGAGTTAAGCTTCTCGGGACTAGAGCCGCTTTGGACCAGGGGTGTTTAACAAGGATGCGAAAGCTCCAGTAGGGTTTTGGATTATGGGGCTTTGGATACGGCTAAGGCTTTGCCATAGGTTTTCAATCGCTGGAAAGTTGAGTTCATTATCTACAGGTCCTGTCAATACTCCAAACTCAAGGAAGTCCTCAGCCCCATACCCTAACCTGCCCCTAAAGGACATGTTAACTTGAAGGCCGCCCCAACACAACTTGGGGTTCCGGGACCCCTGAGCCCCAGATTCAATGAGCTCTAGGAAGACGATTCTTCGGACGGGATGGTGCCTGTCCTGCGGCCGAAGCGTGAATCACACCTTGCCGAACACATGCGCACGAGAAGGGGCCTGAGGCTGACTATCCCCAGAGGAAAGTAATGAAGCCTTACTCCAGGACTCCAGGACAGGCTGAAAGTTCCAGCAGTGGTGTTGTCCAGAGGATGCAGTTGTTGTGTGGGTCGTTTGATCGCATGTAGCCCCTTCAAGCCACCCCTTTCCATAGCTGTAGAAAGGATAGAAACCTTGAAACCAAATCCCAGCCTGAAACACCAAGCCGCAAACCCCAACTCTAATTCCTGTTCCAGTCTATTCAACATCGTCTCAGCTTTGCTGGCTCTGAAATTTCGGATTTTATGCTCAGGGTTCCTGACTCCTAACACTGAGTCTTGGTCAGATCTGTTGGGATTCCGGGTTTGGGGTTCAGGGCTCGGGGAGCTTTGGGCTTCTAATTGAAAGGGTGTAGGGCTTCGCACCCTTGAACCTTGTGCCACATGAGTAATTGTCAAAATTATGGTCCCTTTTGGGGTGCCCTAAATAATAGGTGCCGTATTATAATAGGGACCCAAAAAGGGACCATAATTTTGACAACCACCCACATACGCTTCGGCAGTGAGACCTGAGACGAGAGGCCCAGAAGCAGAAGCCAACAGCTGTTCCACCCACATGGACGGAGGCTGGCAGAGCACATGGAACCTTCTGTTGGGGCTGAGGTCATTCGTAACTACCTTACAGCACATGCTTCCCAAGCGGGAACCACACCCGAAACTGCTCATGGCTCAGGGAAAGTCTTTAATCCATCACGTCCCGGGCTGCCAGCCCCAAGTCCTGAATGGGGTCATTCAAGTTCACATTCAATGAGCCTGAGCTGCGTATAGATGTAAAAAGACTATGCGTATACGCACATATATATATATATATGTACATACATACATACATACATACATATATCTATTTATTTATTTATTTAATTATATATATATATATATATGTATGTTTGACGTATGTATACATCCATCCATCCATCCATCCATCCCTCCGTCCGTCCGTCCGTCCATGCATGCATGCATGCATGCATGCATATATACAGAGGGAGAGACACAGCTAGTTCGAGAGAGAGAGAGAGAGAGATGGCCTGCACGACACCCCTTGAAGGAGGGTGCCAAGCCCTGCATGACATTCTTTGAGAACTCGGGATATTTCCAGGGGCACACAGCCAGAAGCATATTCGATCTTGCAAAGGTCTGCAGACATAACACATTGAGTTTGGAAGTATGGTGCAGAGTTCAGGGTTGAGGGAGTGCTACTCAAACATCGTAGCCCTAAAAGCTTACCCTGAAGCCGAGACTTCAATCAATATCGCGGATTTCCCAGAACTGCTTTCTGACCTAACAGCAGGCAGAAGCTAAAGGAATGGTGTGAAGTAATGTTTAGTTTTCGATCCTTCCGGGCATCGTTCTTCAGGATCCTCGATGCAAGCGACAAGGTACCTGTACCAAAGAGAGCTAGCGAGGTGATGCTGGAGTGCCTCTGGTTGTACATTGGCCCGTACATAGACCTGGAATGTACAATTTGAACCCTCATTGTTCCAAAGCTTCCACGTGTTGTGACATGTACTCTCTTTGAGGCTTCATGAGTCTGCGTAAGGTAAGTATTCTCGGGATCGGGGTTTGTGTACGGGGTTGTTCATGGTCTGAAGGCCAGAGCCACTGCTGCCATGTTGGCTTTACTCGTAGCGTCGTAGCGCCTACCAGTGGCGACAGTCCGAACAGTTTCCCGACCACGGCGCCTTCGTCATGGGCACAAATCCTGAACGATGAGCAGCCACCTGCACCAGGCAAGCTTACCACACGTAAATCTCTAGCCCTAAATCCGAATCTCCGCAAAGGAGAGCTCGACGCCCCCGAAAGCCAGGAATAGGAAACCACTAGGCAGAAACACCGATACTTATAATTCAATCCCAAGACTTCCAGGATGCTGATCTTGGATCGCAAACCCCAAAATCGCTTTCAGCTCGGAGCGCGAAGTGGCCATGGCATCTAGCAAGGATCCGGGCAGCGAGGATCAAACTCTAGCGGACCTGCCAAACGACACGAAGGTTTCGCCGCAGTTCAGCGAGAAGGCTGGACTAAAAAGCCTCAGAGCCAAAAGAGACTGCATGACGAAGCCAACTTCTGCGCGTTCGAAACTGACTGCCTTCATCTTCCCAACCGAAATCTGAGCACGTGCCACGGTACGCAACCAGCAGATCTATGGGTGACGGAAGCCCGAAACCCGAAACCTGAAACCCGACATCCGAAGCCCTAAAGCCCAATCCCAAGACCCCGAACCCATGAACCTCAACAGGCAGGCGTGCAAGGGATCATCCCCCCGAGCTCTATGGGATCTTTCGGAGGTCGTGAGGCTCAGGCTCCTTCACCTGCGGCAATCCTAAATCCTAGTGGCCTTGGGGCTTCTGTCGTTTGTGGTATAGGTCTTCGGATACAGCCTTTCGTTTCGAGAGTTTAGGGATTTAGGGCCGGTTTAGGGCTGGAGGGTTGTAGGACCTGCGGCTCAAATCTTAAAGGTTTGGGATCTTGGGTTTGGGCTTCAGGCTTTAAGGCTTGATGCAGAGGAGCTCTGGGTTCAGGGTTTGTGTAAGCTTAGAAATGCGGCCGAAAAGCCGCAAGCCGTTCAGCCCCGGAAGTCTTCATAAGCCGAAACCTCGAAATCCGTAAGACCGGTGGTCTAGCGTCGCAGTTTAGTTGGTTCGGATGGCATTTAGGTTGTAGGTTTACGGTTTATGCTCAACGACTCAATGTTGTTGTTGCTTGTAGTTCCCCTTGGGATGTACGGTGACTTTGAAGTCAGTCCCCCAGTTCCCCGGCAAGTCAAATCGCTCTTCCCAGGCCCCACACCCTAAGCTCCACATCCTCCACAAAGTGGCAATGAAGCCACAAGAAAAGGAAACAAACTCTCCACCAGGCAGTTGCACCGAAAGAGCACTGTAACGCTTGCGGAGTCGTGCTCGGTTCCTGGGCCTTCTTCGGAGATTTTGGCCGACTGTGGATAGGGTTTTGCGAGCTCTCGGATTGTGATGTGAGCATATGCCCTAGAAGTTGATGGCGGAATTTGTGTCGGTTGCAATTTCAGCGAGAGAGAGGGAGAGATAGAGAACACAACTGAGGGAGGACGGAGACAGAGAGGGATAGTGGGACAGAGAGAAAGAGAAGCCAACCCTTGTAGGACATATGTACCTATAGGATACTACATAGAAAATGGATCGTTTGCGAGCCCATTTTTTGAATATCCAAGCCTATCCCGGCCCATCCCACGTGCTGACATTGAAAACCTGCATCCTAACTAGTGACCCCTACTTTTGAATCGATGCCCATGTATCTGGAGCAAACTCCAAGAGACATGGAGCAGAACTCGCCCCAAACCTCAGAGGGTAACACTAAGTCAATTGGATTGAATTCGGGTTGAGTCGATATACGGTTGTTATACAGTCCATCGGCTGCAGGACACTAACCCAGAAAACCACACGCTCAAACTCCAACGCCAACGCCCCAGTAACATTGACTAAGTCTCACAGCCCAACACCGCACCGCCTTCACTTCTCCAAGCCAGCAAATCATAAACCCTTAAACCTTGCAGCCAGGTTTAGGGTTTAGGGTTCCCCATGCATCCTACATAAGACTCCAATCTCGAAGAACTGCCCAGGGAAGAGGCACCTGAACCCGAAGCATCAGTGCCGCCTCTGTGGCTCCTCAGACCAAACAGCCGAGAGGACATAGGTAGTCATAAGTCGAGCTACCGAATGTCAGTTCTCCAATATGCAAGCTTTGCCTTCTTCTTGTTGTCTTGCAGTTCAATCTGATGTTTCGTTGGGATATTCGGGGAAATCTGGTAAGGAAAGTGTATCTTGACAGACCTCCTCGTTGGGGCTTCGAGTCTTCAGCTTGAGGGCCTGTGTAGGATTGATGGGATCCTGGATTCAGCCTAGGTTTGGGGATGCCCAGCTCGCTTCGGGAGGAGTGCCCAACAAATAGCCTCGTTTTCTTCTTTTCCTGTTGTTCGCCTACATTGAAAGAGCAACACGGTATCTTTGAGGAGTTGCAGGGGAACCTGGTCCGGCCGGAGGTTAAAAAGAAACACTTCTAGGGCAAGGTACATATGGAGGACTAAACGTATCCAGGGCTGAATTGCTCTGACGTCAGAAGGTACATACGGAGGACTAAACGTATCCAGGCCTGAAGTTGGAGGCTTTCAACGAGCTTGATACCCGCACTTATCCATCCTGTCCAAGCAGCCTAAAGCAAGCTCCTGTGCCAATAGTTGCCGGTCAGAAGGCGAACCCGGACAAACCTTGTTGACTGTAGTTGAAAGCCTTGAGCCTTTATGCATTTCCCAGGAGCCACGGTTTGCGCCACCTGCTCTCCAAACAGCCTGAAATTGGAAGAGGGCAGTGCTGCCCAGCGGGTGTGCAACCCCTGCGCCTCGTTCTGGAATGTTAAAATACCTAAACCCTTGTGCACGAGTCTAAAAATGCCAATAGGACTTGGGAAGTTGTAGCCTTTTACTTTTCGGTCCTGATGAGGTTCTGTTGTGATTGAGAGTGTAGATATGTGGTAACACGGGCTGAGGCTCAGGAGAGAGCGGCCCAGAACAGACCTCATCTTTCAACCAAGCTTAGTCGTTCCTAAACCTCAACACTGCTTACCACGAGACCCTCAAGCTTATAAATTGATCATCTCGAACCCTGCGTTAAACCCGACCCTGCATTTCGCTTATGGGATGTTGCGTCTTCGTTTGTTTGTGAGGTTCGCCAGTGGATGAGTTTGAAGGTCGGGGGCTTTGGAGCCATTTTGGAGTTTGAGCCTGAAGCCCTGAAGCCTCCTTTGGCACCCTGGGAGTCCACGTCGAGTGTTTTCGAAGTTGGAGGCCCCCTCAGACAACTAGTGTCAGCTCGAGCAGCTGGTGTGAATGAACCCTGGCTCCAAATGCAGGAACCCGAAGCCCCCTAAAACCGTGACCCTTTTAGGTGGCATTCCTGGCCAAGTCTCCAGGGGTAACGGCTTAGGAGTCGTAGCAGGCTCAAGGCTAGGTCTGGAGTTTTAGAGCTTCAAGGTTTGGGGCATTAGTGTTTTTTCGTGGAGTTACAGGCGGTGTAGTAATACACAGTCCGGATTCTGGGCATACGGTTTCGGATTGGGCGACAGTTTGATCCGCTGAAGGCGATGAGGTTCCAGGTCAACCCTCCGCAATTTCTAGGTTTGGATTGAGGGGCTCGAAGTAGTGGAGCTACCATGTCCGAAGATAAGAAGACAAGGCAACCAAAGTGAAGGAGAAGTTCCACAGCCTAAACTAAGCGCAGAATCTCGGAGGTGTTGAGATTGTGCCGCAGCAGCCGGACCTTCTGAGACGTCTGGATGCCTTAGCGCGGTACCTGGAGACTCACGTCGGAAGGCCCATGGCATGTCACCTTACACGCGGTTCAGGGTTAAGTCTTGGGTTCCCAATGTTTTGGTGGGTTCGCATTTTGGACATGGGGTTTCTCTTTGTGGGATTCGGCCACCATAGGGCAAACGTAGCTGATCTGTTAAACAGGGCCAAGGCGAAAGGATCGTGGAATTGAGGGTTTGTATAAAAGGACTACCTACCTTCGTCCCGCCATTGACCACCTTGGTGCAGTCTCTCGATCCAACCCCCACGGATTTAATGGAAGGTTGCTATGAGAGATCCATAAGGTTTGTAGATCGAGGCCCTCGGAGGGCGACTTCCTTGAAGCCTCGGCAAGTGTTGTCGCGGCCTTGGGGCGCTGTGAGGGCCTCCAGCGGGCCCTCGGGGAGGAGAGGATGCGCCGCTTGGCTTGTGTAGGGTTACGGTTACAGTGTTACAGGGTGCCGTGTTCAAGGTTTAGTGTTTGTGAGTTTTTGGGGCGTCGGTTTAGTGGAGTGTGTTTTTGGGTAAAACAACTGATCGTCCTCGGCTAGTCCAACAGTGCTTTTCCTGGCAAAACAGCCACAAGAATTCCAGGATCGAGGGTTAGAGTTGTGACTTCACCTGGGTCCCATCCCGAGTTAAATTTGCTTCCATATGATCCTGTGAAAAGTCGGATTCCCTCTCTGTTGTGGATTTCTTGCCTGGAGTTCCCAATGGGCTGAGCATCTCGTATGGTTTGGTCGGGATCAAGATGTGGGGCTGCCATAAACAAACAGGGAGTTCTCGTGCGGGTCGCTTGTGATTGGATCTGCGCATTCTGGGGTCTAGATGTGTCCTTCTCCTGTCTTTGGATTTCAGACGAACTGTTTGAAAGGCAGTTGATGCCGGCATTTATGCTGAAGTTCTACACGGTCACTGAATTGGACCTGGTGAGAACTTGCTTTCAAGCTCTGGCCCAAACCCCGAGTCTGCTAAAGCCCTGCAAAGCTCCTGTAATAGGTGTCATTGATACTGTACTCCCCGTTCGAAATATTTTGGGTTTGGGGTACATGCAGTATTGAGGGCACGAGGGCATTCAGGGCTTCTGAGGACTCTACCGAGCTTTGGGTTCGGCCCCGAAGCCGCTGCCAAGCAAGGGCTCATGGCCAAGCTCGAGGAGGCGATGTTTTTCCGCTGTTGTGTTTCGGTGACAGGATTTGCTACAGTTGCAGCTTAGAGTGTTTCGGAGTATAGGTGTTTAGAGTGTATACGGGGTCTGAAAGTTTGGGGTTTTGGGGTGTTAGGGTTTTCGAACTCGGACTCCATGGCGTTTGTTGGCTGCCAGATGTGACTGTCCGCCCGGATAGGGTTTCGTGATTCAAATTCATGGTTTCTGCAACGACAGCTTTGGGATTCAAAATGCATGACGAAAGACCAACACAGGCTCTGCAGACTTCACATTTGGTGCGTTGGGCTTGGGTATGTTTTGGGCTGGTGGAGAGGGAGAGCGCGAGAGAGACAGACAGAGAAAGAGAGAGAGTTCTCTCTCTCTCTCTCTCTC